CCTAAAAAAAATGAAAACATATACATTAACAATGAAGATGTTATTAACATATTTGCATGTAAAACTCCTGTAAATAAAAAAGCACGTCTTATATTTTAAATATAATAATAAAAAATATATTGTTAAATAAGCAAAATATAATTATGAAAAATATTAAAATATTTAAAAAATAAAAAAATAGTAAAGAAATTGATCAGGTGCGTAACTAAAATTTCTAATGCCCGTGGCAAAATATGGGGGGGGGGGGCTAAATGCACAATCCGAGTAGGGGACCAATTTACTTAAATTGGAGCAAAGAAAAAGGACATTGCCTGTTTTTATACACCCGTCTGCATACCTCATATTATTAAACAAAAGAGGTCATCACCTGTTTTTTTTTTATCTTTCCATCCACTCAAAGTAATATCTTAGGCGCCCTTAAATATCATTAGGCCCGTGGCTCATTGCCCGTTACCACCCTCGGTACTCCACTGAAACTGATATATTTTACTCATTTGTGTATTATTTTCAAATTTTTGCATTACAATTTGTTTAATAGACAACATAATAACTATAATTGGTAAGATCATTATAAGAAATAGGTGGGTGTCAAAATTTTATGTGAAGGTGTCTAATGTCATAAGTAAAATTTTGGACTTCGGCTCCACTGGCTACAACGATCATTAAATATATTTTTCCCAATAAACCGGGTGAATATCGGGCGTACAAAATGCTAAATCGACAATCCAACACAAAGATAAAATATTTTCTACACATAGGTAAACATTACGTCATTATACATTTATTACAATAATATAGTTTTCAATATTCATCTGTTACGTTTTCGCGGAGGAACCACTGAACCACAAACCTCGATCAAATTTTACAGGGAAATATTTTACATCGTAATGACGATCGGAGACTATAGTTTTTAATTATTGTATACGAAAAACCATTCTGAGTTCAGTTTTTCAGTATTTCGATCAGGTTAGGTTCAACTAATAGTCATAACATGTGGCCTACAAAAAAGCCATCGGTTTTTTTATAATACGAACTTAAAACGAAATTTAAAGAACAGTAGTAAACCTTGACGGTGTATTTTTCGTTTACTGACAAGAGGGAAAATGTCCGTATTCGATGGTCAGTTTAGATTCTGTGGAGTAAGAAATGTATTGGTGTCACAATGATGTTTATTTTTTTTTTATGTGAACAACTTTATCCTACAAGACATTTTGCTTTGATTTTTAAGTGTAGCACTTTTAAAATTTAAAATTTTATTTGAGTAGTATTTTATGGAGGTCATCTTTTGATTTTCCAAGCAGTTTTCATAATAATTGGGAAAACCGGGAAAAAACGTAGGAAAAACTGGAATATTTACAAAATATATTATTTTCAATTTTGTTTTTTGGAGTGATTTAGTTAAAAATATTTCTAGAAACTTGAAATTTATACAGAAAACTTATACTTGCCTTTTCTAGAAAGGGTAAAAATTTAAAAATATTCAAAGCATTTCTGAGCTATATTTTATAAATTAAATTTAAATTTTGATAGTTTATTCTTCTTTTAGTTACGGTCCTTAAGACCATCCTGAAAACGCTAAACTTTGCCATCTATCCCTGTCCTCCGCTACTTCTCTCCATTTGACACCAGGCTCTATCTTTTCCACTTCTCTCATCACAACATCTTCCCATCTTAACTTAGGTCTACCTAGTGGTCTTTTTCCATTAGGCTCTTCCTCGATCACCCATTTTACCAAAGTACCCTGTTTGCGCCAAGCATGTCCTGCCCAACTTATTNTACTTCTCTCCATTTGACACCAGGCTCTATCTTTTCCACTTCTCTCTTCACACCATCATCCCATCTTAACTTAGGTCTACCTAATGGGCTTTTTCCATTAGGCTCTTCCTCGATCACCCATTTTATCAAAGTACCCTGTTTTCGCCAAGCATGTCCTGCCCAACTTAGTTTCCGCTTGGCGATCTCTCTAACTGTATTCGGCCTCTGGAAAAGTCCTTGGAGTTCCACGTTATGAAGTTTTCTCCATTCATTCGTTTGCCTATCGAATATCGGGCCAAAAATTTTCCGCAGAACTTTTCTCTCGAATATCATTAACCTTGATTCTTCTGTTTTTCTCAGCCCTCAAGTTTCTGAGCCGTATAGAACAATCGGTCTTAGTAGAGTCATGTACATTTTGATTTTTAGAGCTTTGGATAAGGCCTTCGATTTCAAGACTTTTTCAAGTCCATAATATCCTCTATTCGCAAGTTGTATCCTTGTTGACACCTCTGTCTTGATGTCATTATCCTCCGTTATCATCGACCCTAGATACTTAAATTGAGACACTCTTTTGAACTTGAGTTCTTCAATTTTGATATATTGTTCCAGACCGCCATTTCTATTTCTTCAGCTAGCCACAAGGTACTATGTTTTTTCCTCATTAACGGTTAGGCCCACTTTTTTTGCCGTATTTATTAGATTAATTCCCAATCTCTTTATCATATCTAAATCTTCACCAAGGAGAGCGATGTCATCCGCATATGCTAGCATTCCAATTCTAATCTGTCTTAATATAACTCCCTCCGAAATGTTCATCTCACGTATTACCCTCTCCAGTACTAAATTAAACAGCACTGGAGACAAAGCATCCCCTTGCCGAAGTCCTGTCGTTACTCTAGTTGGCTGCGATGTTANAAATATTTACCAAGGAGAGCGATATCATCCGCATATGCTAGCATTCCAATTCTGATCTGTCCTAATATAACTCCCTCCGAAATGTTCATCTCACGTATTACTAATAATCTCACTAATCTCACGTATTATTAATTTTGATAATGTTATTATAAAACATTTATTTATATTTTATGCTAACCCATAAACTTTCCTAACCTAACCTAACCTAATCTAACCGAACCGAACGTGAATTCAAGCATAACGTTGCTGTCATATCTAATAGTATCGAACGTTCTTGCGAGCACGGGCGTCCTACGCATTGCAGTGAGTGCTATAGTGGTACGTATTATTTTATACGGGCGTTATTTTGTACAATGAACCGGTAAAAATAGAAGGTTAATAATTAGTAAATAAATAAATAGAATAATTTTGACTGGATAATATTATGTAATATTTGTTTTAATAATTTTTATTGCGTAATACAATACAATATAAAACCCGTGATTCGTGATCTATATTCATGCGAGTTTATTTGTAAGCAGTAAGTAAGTAGGTGGATGGTTTAAATTATTCACACCTGTGCAACTTGTAAAATAAATACTTACATATTATATTTTGTAGCAGTTGAAATTTATCATAACGGATTACTTTATTCATTCGATTATGTGATCTCCGAGTAATATTATTGTTCGAGTATAGAGTAGAGAGGTTGTGCATTAATGCAGCAGTCATGCTTTACATTTTTAATAAAAACGTAGTATTTGTTTCAAGATTATCTAACAGTATAACTGTATAAGTAATACAAATGCATTCAGTTATTATTCTGTATCGTCCGCTATTTCTTATTCTCCTCTTTTTTTTCTTCTTTTTTTTTCTGATTTATGCGGTCTCATAAGTGAATTGTATAAAACCACTGTAAATAAATTTATATGCTAAAACATATATAAAATGCAATTTTTTATATTATTATTGTGAAAGAAACAACGAGAGTGCGATTAATTTAATTTTTCAGTAATGCATGTCTATGTTTTACACATTTCTAAGTAAATACACATTGTTCTGCTGCAGTAATATTATGGTCGCAATCCACAACTACTTAAAAATTTAATAATTTACTATACAGATAATTTTAAAAAATATTATTCCATACGTCTGATAACAAGCATAACGATATTTAATTAGATATTTAAATAAGATATTTCACACAGTATATCAAACTTTTGTTATTAATGATAAAGACTACCTAACTAATAACTGATATAAATATGACAATACTAGGCAAATGTTACTGAAAGTAACATTTTCGTACGAAACCTTGTCCCCCTGTTAGATTTTTTAGAAGATAATAACACGCTAGAAAAATCTTATCACTCCTCCCCTGGCAGGATTATCTCGGCAATAATAAATTTAAAATTGTTAAATAGCTGAAACTTCGAGGATAGGTATAACACATTTATAACCTGTTTCGCACTTTTGTAGATGGCCGTTTGACAAAGATATAAATTAATGTGCTCCTCAATGAAATAAGAAACTGAAAATCGCAAAACAGTTATCCTAAACCTAATTTAAAACATATTTGACACCATGGTAAGGCCACTGTTGTTTTCATCATTTAAGGTATAGAATGAAATAATCAGAGAATTCGTGTTATCCTAAAATTGTACTTTTTTTTTTTTTTAAAAAAAAATCAAAACATATTTTAGTAAAAAGAAAGGTTTCTTTGCTATATTCGGTATCTAAAATGGAAAAATATCGCAAGAGATCTTTAAATAAAAAAACTTCGATATTTTCACTCGTGTTGCAGTGTAGGTACATTATTATTATAAAATACATCTTGATAATAATAATTATCACTTATGAAAAAAAAATAATGATTTTGCAGAACTGAATTTAGATGAATAAACTTAAAGATTACTTTCGTCGTATAGTTTAATGTTGGTTTTTTTTTCTATTTTACAAAAATTCCTAGCGATAAGGTTCGACATTTGAAATTTAAAACCATACCTCTATAAAACACAATGCTATAATGTAATAATAATAATAATTCGTATAGACTGTGCGTTTATAACTGATTATTAAATAACATAATGTAATGAAATAAATGATTTTACGATAGTGCTATCTACTTTTTGTGTGACCTTAACCAATAACTACCTATAGGTATTAAACTATATAAATTGAACGGGGTAGGTAAATCAATGCGTATGCATTGGGAATTCAAGAAGATCGTCGAAAGAATAAATACCTACGTAACTTTCCAGTCGATACGTCGGATTGGACAACGTGTAGGGTGCGAGATAAAAAAAAAATAACAAGTTTTTATTACGATTTGTGCCGTTAAATTAGTTTTACTCGTGTTTTTTTTTTTTTTTTAATGTACTTTGAAAAATTCCTTTTTTTTCTTTTTTCCCCCGAACTCTGCACTCAAGTACCGTTCCGGTCGGCGACGTGTCCACGGAAAAAAAACTGGCGATAAGAGACTCGGCTCCGGACGCTGCTATGCGCAGCTTCCACACACACGAGATGAAAATGCAATATAAGACCTCGTGCAGATTCCGTTTTCCGACCACGTGGGACCGTTACTATAATAATATATCACAATAACAACCAAAACGTGAATGATAAATATATATATATATATATATATATATATACATATATATATTTTTAATTTTAAAACGTTTTCCCTGTCAAGTTTGGATAAAAATTTTACATACCTAACCCACGAAAAACGTGATGTAACTGTGTAAGTCTTTTTAGACCTTTTTTTTTATTATTATTTTTATTATGCATTATAGCCACGCTAGTTACGGTGGTTATTTGGTGAATACAAACTTTAAGTAAATTAAATTTGTATTTTTTTTTTTATAATAATAATCAGACGCTGCAGTCTGTTTTTATGATTACATAAAATATAATATCATTATGTTTATTCAGTCGTGTATATTTTATAGATATATTCAGTTTAACGGCCTTCGTCATCGCGTGGAATAAAAATCAATACTTGTGACTTAAATGCTTAAAATATATGAATTGATGACGTAGTCAAATTTTTAACTAAAATATTTTATACGTTAGAATTAACTAAATTGTACGTCATCACGATAAGCATGTAAACTGTAGATAGATTCATTCATAAAATCCATTGCAGCATTAGGAAATAGTTACAATGTTCTTTATTAAATTATTAATAAATAATTAATAGTTATCCGTGGGGTTAAAGAGATTACAGACTTTCCCTTCCTAATTGCTATGGGAAAAGTGGTTTTAAATAAAAGTTAATCGAGTTTTGGGCCTTGTAAATAAAACAAGCTGTAAGCCACCACAAAAATATCTCTGAATGCGCACCTAGAATAAATCTGACAGTTTTTTGATCGTGATGTACCAGTGCCGTGCACAGGAATTTTTAATGAGAAAAGATGTAGCAAATAATAATTGTAAATAAACCTTAGAGTTTTCTTATCTACCCAACTAGACTATGGGAATTTTAATTATATGCCCAAAAATGTCAATTTCTAATTAGTAAATCAAAATATTCTTCGTACCATGGCCGAACGATTAAATTAATAAAAAATATCCATATCCGTTGTGTTTTCAAGCCAATGGGGGGGGGTAGAGGATAGTGAAAGAATATAATCCTTAATTTTTCAACGGCGCACACAACTGTGACGGTTATTGACGGATTTGCATCTGTCGTGTACAGTACTTCAGCTATCATCGTATAATATGCAATTAACTGTCACGACGAACGTGATTTTACGGTGATGTTACAAACGATCCACGATTCGACTATGCGCCAAAATAACTTTAATGCGAATATAATATCGGCTAGTAAATAAAAACGAGGAAAATACGATTGAGACAATATTCGCCCAATTCACACGATAGATATAAATATTGTAATATTATATCGATTTTTCGGAGCGCAATAAAATCTAAATCTAATAAAAATACACTATCGTCGGCGGCGGTGGCAACGGCATCTCATTATTATTTCAAATCGCATAATTTATTTATATATATTTATTATTTCGTATGGAAATAAAACGTTATTTTAACATTATTTCGTGGGGACCGTAAAAATTTATTCGTTATTATTGTACCTCGTTGTGATGATGGATGGTCCTTGATACGATATGTTAAAAAATATTTAAAAATATAATAGCGGATTCGATACGTGGATTTTATGGTACCCAGGGGCGGTCAAATGGGTCGGGTAAGGGAGTTGACTAAGGGAGATATATCCCCCCGTTGCCTAATTTTTCTTAAATATATATAATAATATATAGAGGGATTTTTTTTAAGCACGCTCGCCCCATTTGTCTATCGAATTATGCATAAACTTAAATTCTGATTTTCGGATTTTTAAGTGTAGTAAAAAATAATACTTCCGAATACTTAGATTTTTCACAACACTTCAAAAGTAACTTGTGACACTACCGATTTTGGTTTTCAAATGAGAACTTACGTTTTTTTAATGCAAATTGTCAAACAGACGATTTTTCTGAAAATGTTAACGTATTTTAATCAAAATTTGAATGGAAATTTTCTGAGTTAGTCCACTTTAAAAACTAAAGGATGATAGAACTGCATAGTTCAAAACAAGAAAACGCCTATGCGCAACTCCTATAAAACAGTCGATATCAAACCACAATAAAACACCATTACTCTTTGTATTTAAAGAAGGATAACTCGAAAACTTTCCGTTTAGATTTCGATTACAATACATCTAAATTTTGTAAAAAAAATCATCTTATTATAATTCACATTAAAATATGTAGATTCTCATTCCTTACAAAAACCAAAGTTGTTATTATCACAGGATACTCCTTAAATTTAAAAAAATATAAACATTATGCGAAAATATTGCCGTTTACCGCACGTAAAAATTCTAAAAAATCAGAATTTGAATTCATGCATAACCATACAAATGGAGTGAGCACGCTTATAAAATCGTTTTGTATATTATATTATATCCGTATAGTGATAAAAAAAGATTATGCAAATAATACTATGTCTTAAAAAATTATCCTTACTCCCATCACAAAACCATTTGACCGCCACTGGTAGTACCTATGTAATAATAATATAATATACGAATTATGTTGAATACTACATACTTATTTACAGACCAAACAATATCGAATGGGATAAAATACCGCGACTAATAATTTTTATTCGTTAAATAAGCTATTTAATAATTTTTGTTTTTACTTAATTGTTTTATTATTTATTATTTATTACCCGGTGTTTAATTAGTCAAGGTACACGGTCTGAACAAACATTTTTTTTTTTTTGATTTCATTGATAATAATGTAAT